AGGGTCAAGAAGTGTACGGAATGTTGAAGGAAGGAATAGGATTCAAGGATTACCTACATGGANAAGGAGAGGGAAGTGTACGTGACTGAGCTGGGAAAAATAGATGGAACGTACAGGGAGATGTTTGAGGCATGGAATAGAGAGGAAAGGACGGTAGCTGTAGTGGGGCATAGGAGGTGGGTTGAAAAGGCGGGAAGGGATATCGTTAGGATAGACAGACTAGGGAAGACATTGTTGAGCCACCTTTGGCAAAGTAGAAACGATTGGCCATCGGTGATCGGTCCTGTGGGCTTTGTCTTCGGCGCCTGCCCGTGTTGCCTGCACCACGTCTTGTTTTGAGTCTGCCGTCTTTAGCCGAGCCACGTTTTCGGTGTCGGTGGTGTGCCCGGGGCTCCACGACATGGCTTCTTTCAGTCGCCGCGACTCTTCCGCCGGTATGTAGCTGCTGCAACAAGAAACCTTTCTGTGTTGGTGGCATACCTGAAACCGTAGCCGCTACCCTCGCAAGCCCCCCCCCACCTCCGACATTGGCTACTCCCAATTGTTGTCGTTTTTGTTGTTGTTTGCCCCCACGCCGAATACTTGTGGTCCTGGTCTGGTCTGCATGCCCTCAGGCGTTCTGTGTCGGAATCCCTTCCCCCTGATTTACTCCTGTGTTGTTATTGTTTGCGCCGACACTGATTGCTTGTGGGCGTCCTGGTCTGGCCTGCGTGCCCTCAGGTCCACTGCCCGGACAAGACACCCCCGGGCTTGGTAGACCGCGTCCGCAAGGCCCTCGACGAGCGCAGCCTGAAGGGAGTTGTCGACCGCTCCGCGGTGTGGAGCAAAACGGCGGCGAAGGCGTACGCTCGGCTCGCGTGTGGGTGAGTCAGTCCTCCCTCGTCCTCACCCCTCTCTGTTTTTTTCTCCTTCGTTCTGTTTTCGTTCTCCTGTGTAGATGCTGCTTGTGTTCCTTTCTCCGTGTTGTGTGGTCGTTTCACGGTGATCGATTCGCGGGAGTGGTGACCGGGGGGGACGTGGTGATATTCGGCATGGTGTCTCTTCTCGCGTGGTATCTGAGGTGTCCGAGGGATTGGCCCCAGTTGTTCCTCTTGAAAACGCATCACCTGGTGTGGTATGCTGAATCGGGTGGGGTGGCATCGCGTTTGCGCGGAGGGCTCCCCGCCTAAACGCTTTTTTTTTTTTCTTCGTGTTTCCAAACAACGATGCTCGGCGGCCAAAACAGGTGCTGCGCGGAAGCCCCCGGCACTCGCCCCACTCTCCGCGAGGTGTTGGAGAAGGTCAAGGCCATCCAGGAGACGGGCCAACGGAACACGAGCGGGGGTGGGGAGCAGCACGCCGCGGCGGCGGGCTTGTCCTCCTCGGATGCGATGTCCCGCTCGCCGGCGACGACGGCGCCCGCGACGAACCAGCCCTCTGCCCCTGCTGCCACTGGCGCTACTACACAGCAGGGCGAAGGGGACGACCTCCTCGGCCTCTTCGACCACGTGCAGGGGAGTAGTAACCCCGTCGGTGCCGCCGGCGGCACCGGCGCTACGAAGTCGTCGCCACAGCAGCAGCAGCAGCAGCAGCAGCAGCGGACGCCCACGCGCCGGCCGCCGCCGCCGCCGCCGCCGCCGCCGCCGCCGCCGCCCCCGTACGACACGGCCATCCAGAACTCTTCCCCGAAGAGGGCCACAACCGTGCCGGCGGCGGCGGCGGCGGCGAAACAACCCCCGCCCTACCGCGAGGCGATGGCCGCTCGGCACGGGGGCCCCCTGCTGGCGATCGACGGCGACGATGGCTTGGTGGAGGAGAAGGCGGCGGGGGGCGGTAACCTGGTGGATCTCGGGCAAGACTTTAGCCGACAGAGTAGCGCCAGCAGCGGGGAAAGCCGTGGTGGCGCCGGGAATAACCCCGAAGGAGGCGCGGCGGCTGGAAGAGAGTGGTGGGCCGCGTCGTCTAGCTCAGCCAAGCCGTATTCGGGAGCGCCAGCGCCGGCGCCGTACGGGAGACATCCAGCGACGACGATGGGCCCCTCGTTGGGGTCTGTCGGTGGCGGCGGCGGCGGGCGGGGCGGCGGTGGTAGCACCGAGAGTGCGCTCAGCGACCTGGGAAGGGGAGGAGGATCGGCGACCGGCGGTGGCGGCAGCAGCAGCAAGAATGATGCCTCCATCTCGTGCACGCTGTCGATGTCGCTCGCCGAGTACGCGGCCGGGCTCCCGGGGGTGCTACGGGCGGCGAAGAGCGGCGGCGTCTTGTCGTCTAACCCGCGCCTTCTCTGCGTCTGCAATAACAATAGCAACAACAACGGGATAGTGAGTTCGTCGGCCGATGCTGGTGGGGCGGAAGGGGGCGCGCCGGCGGCGGGCCAGCAGGACTCGGCCGGGCACGTCTCGGTCCTTGACCTATGGCACAGGGGAAGGACGGTCAGGTACCCCGTGGCGGCGGACCGGGCCGCCATGAGCCCGAACCAGTCCGAGTCCGTGATCGCCGTGCTGGGCGGGGGAAGCCTGCACGTGTTCAGCATCCCGCGCAGGTGCAGGCTGCAGGAGCAGGCGGTCGCGACGGACCTGTGCATGTGGAGGTGGGTGTCCCAGAGCGACAGGGGAGGTTAGGGCAGGGGGGCACCATAAAGTACAGTCGGTCGGTTGTCGGTATCTTCCGAAGCATCAACGCTCGACATTTCTTTGGGGGGGTGGGGGGGGGGGGGGGGGGGGGGG